TTACTTACTTACTTACTTACTTACTTACTTACTTACTTACTTACTTACTTACTTACTTACTTACTTACTTACTTACTTGGTGAAAAGAAGGATTCTGATTCATCCAAGAGCAGAAAAAAAGTTAACCGACCGCGAAGATGGGCGACAGCGAGACATAACAGGGAATGATGGCTTGTTTCGAATGGCTCATAGATCAGAAATAGAAACGATAAAGTAAAGGATATAATATTAATGTCACTGATTAATTCATAAGTTTAAAAAAATATATTCACTGTATTTGACTCTGAAGTGTTTAGCACTACTGTACTGAAATACGCAAACAAATATTGTAACTTAAACAGAAACTTATTAAAAATCTCAACGGGCAGGAGAGTGGCTACTTGCCTATTTACAAAGGGGAGGGGAGTTGAATTCAGGACGCTCATGATCAAACACAATCCTACCACTAGATAGCGCCACCTGCATACAAACTGGGGAAATCACAACCGTGACGGCGTTTGGACTGATCTGATATGAACAATGTAGCAAAGGTTTTCTAATTTCAATTGAGAAGAGTACAGAAATTTAGTGAACACGTAACAATCGCTTCAGTTGTAACTGCTAGTCATGTCCAATGTAAAACCAACATCTGTCGGGCTCTGTCAAACTCTCAGTCCAGCTTATTGCTATGCCGAGACACTCGCTTTCGGCCAAAAATTATACGCATCATTAATTTCTGCATGGTCCTTTCCTGTTGAATATTCAACTTTTTCAGTGGACACATCTTTGGACGCTTGCTTCCTTTTCTTTTTGTCCGCCTTCCACTCCAATCGCTGTTTCCAGTGTTTTAGAAAAAACAACTTCGCTGCATGAAGCAATCTCCTTTTTCTCTTCCTTCCTTTTTTCAGATATCACCTGGGAATTCGACTTCGAGTTAGCTTCTTCAAAAACTTGCGGAACAGCAAAGTCAAAAAATTTACGAAAGAAAAAAACAGCCAAACTTCCCCTGTAACCAACATCCAAAGCTAAGAGAAAGCTATCCAGTTCCTGGTACTCGCTTTGGCGTGCAATTTGTCTTGCAACCAAAAATGAGTCGTACAGAAATAAAGCGAGCATTCGAAGGCCATATGTAAACAAAATCGCTCGGTACAGATACAACAACTTGTCGGCGCGTTCTCTGGAAAAATGCTGAGCGAACCACGATTTTACGTTGTGGAGGTTAACATAGGTAAACGCGCAAGCCAAAATTGTTGTTGAAGCGAACTCAAAACTCAGAGAAAATCCCAGGACGATAAGAACTGGATAGTTTTGGTTAATTCCGGGAATTATGTCTATGAGAACGTTCGTGAAGATGCGAGCAACCCACAAAGTTGTCCACATCCAAAAATCTCCATGTCTCGGGAGAGCCCTGAGGAAATTTTTGAAGTTGAACTGTTTCCACCGGTAGATTAGAAGGATCAGAAATGACGAAACCACAGTCTCTACGAAAGTGCTGGTAGTGTTCAGACTATCAACTGCCATCTGAGGTAGTGTTACATGGCCATCGCATCTTTCTACACGGCTCTCTGCGATCACGATGCAAATAACGCTGGTTATGAAGAACACTGCGATGAAAGCAAATCTGACGAGCGTTAAGACAACGCAACAGATTACTGCAATGGCTAAGCGCTGGTTTTTCCTCATTTTTCTCTTTGATTTGATTTCCTGTGAGAAGCGTCAGAGGGCTAGAGCTACTAAAAAGTGCAGTGACGCAGCAAGTAAAAAGCAGGAAGCGAAAGTGAAAAAGTCTGCAGGGTCATATGAAATGGAGGTGCTGATATTTGATTGGCTGAGATTCCCCAATAGCCTAATTTTCACACACAAGCACAAAAAAAAAAAAAAATGTTAATCCTGAATACAAACGAAGTTACCCGCAAGTCTTAACGCTAAATTGCTTCTCAAAAGATTAGTTAGGCACTTTCGAAAGGGATGTACAAAAAGTTCTAGAAAGAACAAAGTTATCTACCCGTAGAGAATATCTACCACTAGTGTAACTGAATGTTACCAAATCACTTTCGGTCTAAGTCAATCTCATCGAGTAATCGCAAGTTCTGCGAAAGTTTTGGATTTTCGAAACTCGAGTCAACAAGAGCAAATTATTCGGCTTATTAGCTTAACACATATAATTACTCCACCTTCGCCAGAATAATTAAGTCAGGGAACACACTTATGCACTTGTGGAAGAAGGCAGTTTGCCGGCTTTCATTAAGATGAACTCGCAGTTCACCTAGGTATTTAGATGTATATTTTTACTTTTGCAAATGTTGGTATATAGATTATTATCTATAAGTTAGTGACTTTTCGGTTGATTTGAAACTAGATACAGCTGTTTTAATTTGCCTCCCCCCCTCCCCCCCCCCCCACACACACCGTGGTACAAGGATGGAGAGGGGTGGAAGGGTGGCGTCTGGTATGGATGGAGTCCCCCCCACCCTGGGTTTTCGTTAGTTCTGCTTTACTGCTGACGTCATTGCTTACATTTCGCTCATTTGCATACGGCTCAGCGTACAGAAAGAAACATGTTAGATATGATTTTGACTCCAGGCAGCTAAATTAAAGAGCTAGTGAAACTTAATACATGGTTAAATGTTTACCTCTTGGGGTGTAATATTCAAGGACATATTGTCTTTCAAAAACTGCATAACTTGTAGGGTGGCAAAAGCGCTAATAAGCTCATACATTCTTTGTAAAAGTTTGAGTTTTTAAACCCGCGTTGCACAAAAGGTATTCAATACATCAGGCCATAGTTAGTAGATCAGGCTGATATTCATTGGCAGAGTTAATCGTACTATGACCTTTAATATTCAGAACTGACTTATTTGTAGTTCCATCAAAAACTGAATTGCTTATGCTAATGAGGCAAATATTGTAAACAAGGATTCCCCTGTACTTTGATATTTGACCGGTTATCACAGCGTAGTGATATCCGCCATGTTTGATCCGCCACCTTAGATTTCATAAACTATTTTCCTAGAAAGCTGGAAAATAACGTAGGTAAATGAAAAAATTGATAATGTGATAGTAAAAGTGATTATGAAGTGTAAAAAAGCACTAATTTTCTGCAACGCTGCGCCAGAAAGATGGGAAAAAAGACGACTTCGGTCAAAAATGACTGAATTTTGCTTGAAGTGCATGTTGTCCAAATTTTGCGGCTGCCAGGGCTGTAGCCAGTCAAAAGTTATGACTGAGACAATGTTAATGGTTAAATCCACTGCTTATATATATCGAGCAACTTTTTTACTTTTTCCCTTCAAAAAAGAAACTACGGAAACGAAAAAATGCCTGAGGCAAGTGCTTCGGTTCGCCCGGCTCATATTGGCTACGGCCCTGACTTCCATGGCAATTACTACAGATGCAGTGAGATGTTAATAATCAGCTCCTTTCAATTTTTTTAAACTTTTAAGACTGATATAAGATATACACTGAGTTTTATAGGTATCCGGTCACTTCGTTCCCTAGACACTTCGTTCCAAGTCACTTCGTTCCATCCGTTGGTCATTTCGTTCCATCAAAGAGTCCCTCCGTTCCATCAAAGAGTCACTTCGTTCCAAAGAATAGTCACTTCGTTCCAAGGAGAAACTAAGTAAGTAAACTTCTTATCTTACAAAGCTACATTGTACTAAACACCTAAAGCGGATATAATGTCCTTGAACTGTCTGGTATCCGGTCGTTTCGATACAAGTCGTTTCGTTATAAATCGAAGTCGTTTCCTATTCACATGTAAAGTCGATTCAATCCAAACTTTTGGTTTACTTACGAAAGTAAATTACAAGAAATATCCCAAGCACGCACTATTGTGTGTAGCCTATTTCAGGTGTTCAGCCAAAGTTTGGGAGCAGTGGAAAAAACGCCGAGAGAAAAAACATAGCAAAGATCTCAACTAACCTCCTCCTGATTGCGCTTCGCGCAGATCTGAACGCGACCTTTGGGGTCCCGCGTGTACCTGTACCCACCCGTCCCTCTCTAAGGCATTTCCGGAGTCACATGACATCACTGTTGGATTTTCAAGATGGCGTCGCAGTCGCAAGGTATTCAACAACTGTTACAGGCCGAGAAGAGGGCTGAAACCATGGTTTCTGAAGCTAGAAAACGTAAGAAAATATTCTCTAATATTGTTACTCTTTTTCCTGTGTAATCTAAGGCGAGGGAACACATAAAATGCAAAGTTTGCCGTGTCTTTGATGTGGCGGATTAGATGATCGAACACACTTCCGATTTGTTGCTAGCTTATTGCGGTTAAATTTGTATCTATGAAGCTGATCTAGTACTCTTCGTTTTATCAAGATTAACGTTAAAGCTAGACAAACCCTCTGAAGAAAATTTATCGAATTTTTGAGAAAATTCAAATCGTGCAAGTTGAATACTATTAAGCTTACTAGCTGAACCAGTTCTACGCAAGACTAAAAAGTTCTCCTTCTTGTAAACTTAACGATTGTAAAAATGTTCTTTTGTTCTCTACACGTACGATGAATAATTTTCTCCTTATTCTCTTCTCCTACTCTCTCATTTGGTTCTGCTTTATTGTTGTTGAAAGTACAATTAGCACCAAAATGACAACCCGCTCTTTTGTAGGTTTGGCAGCCCATGGTACATTCAGTGTATGTTACGGCGAAGATCTTTGTCGTGGCCTTTTTTTTTGCGGCATACTGCAGTGCAATTGGAGTTTTTGGTGTATAATGTATATAGCGGCTCGCACAGTTATATATGCTGGCAAAAAGTGAAGTCTATATATGAGCCAAATAGCTCATCAGGCCGGAGTTTATCCCAGTTTCCATAGCATGAAGCAGCTAGGAGTATTTCTACTCCCCCCTGGATGGGATGCTAGTCCATTGCAGGGTTACCTCCAGCATTAAGTGTGCCGGTACCCATTTATACACCTGGGTGAAGAGAGGCACTGTGAGAGTAAAGTGTCTGGCCCAAGAACACAGCACAGTACCCCCAGCCAGGGCTTGAACCCATACCGCTCGATCAAGAAACGACCACACTAACCATGAGGCAACCGTGCCTCTCATGAGTCATGATTAATTTTTTGTCAGTATTTGGTCAAGGTTGGGGTTTAAGTGCAGCCGTGAAGGAAGAATGACATTCAAGAATATTTCATCTGTTTTCTTTGTACAGAAAGGAAATTTGTTAACAACTGGCCCCCACTGCTTCTTCTTCTTTTCTAGAATGATAAAATAGTAAAAGCTACTTTTGTATTAAGGTAAAGTCTGCATGCGAGCCAAGTGGCCCATCAGGCTGGAGCTTATCCCGGTTTCTTTAGCATGAAGCGACTAGGAGTATTTCTACTCCCCCCTGGATGGGATGCTAGTCC